ATATCAACACTGGAAAAAAAAACATTAACTAAGTCATAGCTTGTTATCATCAGAAACCCTGTGCTAGAGAGGTCCTTAGTCGACTATTATGCATTTTATCCGGTGGGTGATATGTATCATAATGATCTTCAATTTTATCAGGCGGGTTAGATCATTGTATCACAATGATCCTCAATACTGAAGCGACCCTTTCGAAAAAGTATGTAATTTAGCACTAGAGCCGGTTTAAAGGCCTAAATTCATGCACTCTAGAACTCGGCAGGAATTGTTGCAGATGACCGATCGAGCCTTAAACTGAATTAGTCAGAGTAGACGAGAAACTTAAACTTTGAAGTCAGCGCGACCCTTTGTTGCGCGACCCTTGGCGGCATATAAACGTTTCGTTCTCGTGTACATTACATCAGTCCGCAGTCAAGATCTGAATGAGTTACGCATCAAAAGCTAGACGAGTAGACACTTTTGACATCTTTTAGCAGCAAAATTTGTAAAAGTCGTAACATTATGAGGTATGTATGTGTAAGGGTGAGCTTGGTTATCCGAGACAAAACTTTGAAGTCCTATATATGTTTTGAGTTCAAGATTTTGGTCCCGGTTTCGATGATACCGTCTCACTTCTGTCGCGGAGATTTTTCTCGTCTCATCATTCATCGTTATCGTTGTTATCGTTTTGAATTAACCGTGATTTACAAATTAATTATACTTGCAGGGTAGAGAATTGAACGTTATCAATAAATTGTTACTGAATCACCGTTAACACTTGGAATGTACAGTGCTGACGGAATTGTGTTTTGGTCGTCAGCGACCAATTGTGTCTCCACTACCAGCTATGCGGGGTTTTTAAAATCGCTACTTATTTATCGAAACTTCACTCGAATGGCGAAATCATTGTTTCAGCATAATTTTATATTAACTAATTTTTTTTCATAGCAGAGGGTTTTAAAGGTTGTATTTAAGGAAGTAGAGTAGGGAAGACTCAACCAAAAAAAAAAACAGATGCTTAAAATTGCTTCAGTTTTAGTATCAAATCAACTTTACCATTGCTAAAAGGTACTAAGGTCTAATAAGAGGCCTAGTTACTTAGATACGGCCATGTTAAGAGGACAGCCGTCGACGTGCCTACTCCCGCGAATAAGCTAGGTAACCGCGCTGCCTCACATATGCGTAATGAAAGACGGAAACTTAAAGGCTAGTGAGCCAAAGTGCTTATGAATTCTTTTCATGAGCACATCAGAAATGTTTAGCGAGATGTTTGTCAAATTTTAACACTGGCAAACTATCGAATAAATTGACTGAATCAATTATTCTGCTTTATTTCGCTGTCATAAATGCTCAAAACAAAACAATCGTTGAACTATCACAATAACAACTGTCATTGATTCATCTCCAAATGCAAATGATCTCACTTTGACAACGATAATGTTCACTTAGTCCTGAGATCAAGTCAATCAGTGATCAATGTTTGCCGGTATAGTTGGGACATGTGACTAGATCCGGCTGGTTTTGTGCTCATTCCTTGCCGCAGAGATGCAGAAATCTTTTATCCCTACCTTCTATCTTTCTACGTGAACGAGAGGAACGATTTCATAGAGGAGCTCAGGATTATCTTTTGTCAAAATCAAATCAGTAATGAGTTTCCCAATTTCTTGCAGTTCACAAGGAACTGAAGAGTTAATTTCAGATCAGAGGGGACGTCTGGAAACGAGGTAAGAAAAAAAGTCCTATGATCTTCCCTCTTGAGTCAGTATAGTAGTTCAAGTCGATTTTGAAATAGCTGTAAGGCCTTTACATGAATATTGGGAATAATAGCGTTTATGTGCAAGAACAGCTCGGATTCGCTGGTAGCCAGTCAAAGTTACTTGTAGCAGGCGATGGATTTCGCAAATGAATTAAGAAATACAGAGTGAATAAAAAAAAAAAAAGAAAAATCGATCGGTGTCTTTACGGAAGACAGCAACGGAAAGCTAAAAAGTTCTCTCGAGACTGGAGCAAAGTTTTTTGTCACGCGGTTTATATATCAAGTATCTCTGGCTAATATATTTTCATCTGGAACGAACCATTCATTGTTTACATTACAATCCACATAAAGAATAATGAATATTTCAAAAATAATTCTAGAATACACAAAGAGGGAAATGTGAATTTTAATGCTACATAGAAGAGTTTCGAAATACATACACTAGTCACGAGGACGAGAGTGAACCGACTTGAGTTCCGCAGTTTTATCTTTCATAGAGATTTCTTATTTTGGATTCAGGGGGCTCTTCATCCTTCCTGTGCTTCAATTTTTTCAACATACTAAAGTTTGGAGCTGATAAAATATTATTGATGCACCATAGTTACGTTAAAGTACTGCTTATTACGTGAAGGCTCTAAATTCTTCAATTTTCTGCTATCACATTTCTAACTTGACCCACCTCCTTGCGTAGCCTACGGGCTGATTGATGCCGAGGCGAACAAAGCTTTCAAAAATGATAATAATTAAAAAAAAGCAAAAGAGCTTTGATTAAAATAATAAAAATCCGAGCACTTATTTATTATAGACATTGAATATTGGCATGTGGTTCTGCGATTACCAGCATGGTTGAGTTTTCCACAAAGATAACCAAAATCCCACTTAGGCCTGTTTGGGTCCCCAAAGTTCGCACTTTTGGTCGAGGAACTCTCAAACTTAGTACATTACTCCTGAATTCAACACAAGGAACACAATTTGTGCACAGTCTAGTCGCTCACTATGCAAGGACTGATTAGCTAAATCACTTTAGCAAATGAATTCTTGTGATAGTTCTCTGAGGATATGCTGCGATCCAGGTGCGTTTTACTCGTGCAGTACAGAAGGCACTGACCGCAGAGGAGAGTTCTGCCTTTTTAGCGACTATGCAGTTCGAAAGTTTCGAAACTTAACACACGCTAAAGATAAAACACACTATGAAAGACAATGTACCTGATAGTTTTAAAGTTATTTCTTTGTTGATATTGACAAGAGACACTAAAAGCACAAAGATGGGAATGAAAAAATGTCCAGATGCGTGTCAATATTATTGGATTTAAGTTACACAGAATTTGTTTAATAGGAGAAGCGACAAGAAGGAGAAAAATTGGCTCTTCCAGTGAAAACGTGTAGTCGTGTTCTGTTTAAACTTTACGTCTTTTTGCTGAGACCGCTGTTGATTTGATCGCAAAGATATTGCTACACTTATCTGGTAAAATACGTTCGATTGTCAGTAGGACACAGCGAGAGTAATTTGTACACAGCCAAAGCGAAGAGTGCGTCATGTTGATACTACTTGAAATGTCTCGAAGAAGGGAGCCTGTCATCCCGTTTAATCGTAGCACCATTCATAAATTCGAGCAGATATCAAGAACTTTTAAAAATTAAGGATCAAACGCATAACCTTTTCAAGACTCCAACATTTGGTATCTTTACAGACAGGAAATATGTTTCAATAGAAAGCGAAAGTCACAATGGTCCAACTTCGTACGCTTCTAATTACACCATCGACCCTTCAAGTGTTATTAAAGACGGAAACTTAAAGGCTAGTAGCCACGGTGGTTATCAATTCTTTTCATGAGAAAATTGAAAATGTTTAGCGAGTTATTCTACTTCAAGGTTTACGCTGTTGTCAAATTTTAACACTGACAAACGATTGAATAAATTTATCTAATCAATGATTCTGCTTCATTGCGCTCTCAGAAATGCCCAACAAATTCGTCTACCTATTAGCTTAACGAATGACTCCCCTCGAAATGATCTCACTGTGACAAAGTGAATCATCTCTCAGTCCTGAGATCAAGCACAGCTCATGCTCGAAAGTTAAATTTGCCGCTCAAAAAGCGACCAGTAGCAACAGTGCAGAGTATTTCCTTGTAAGATGGATGTACACACCTTAAATTTGTCCACCTGATCCTTCAAAGAAAGTAGATCCACCGCAATGAGAAGATTGAATCCCACACGAGAGTTGAAAGCGAAGGACACTCGTCCAGTTTAGCTTAGCTAAACAAAACTCCATTGTTACCATTTGCTTTAGGGCACGTTGATGCTGGATGCTAGCGGAGTAAGTAAGGACTACTTTACCGCCAAGAGAAACAATTCACAGGTCTTTATCCAGAACGTTCTTCAACAGACGAATTCAATGTCGATTCCAATATCTGGAGCGGTATTTACCTTTATATAAAGATTCTCAAGCCCTAACTGAGCTTGGTGTGATCACAGACGCTTAGTTTTTTTCCATAATGTAGACCATAATGTCGCGAAGAGTGAATAAACGTTACAAACTTCAACGTTACATGATGCTTCTAGATTGAATGTCGAATGAACTATCGCTTCCGCTTCCGACCACTAAAACACTATTGCGCTTGTGCCAGATGCAAAACACAAGACATAATCATATCTTGAGTGATAAAATTAGAACCCAGCGGAGACGTAATTACTCTATGCAGACTCTCTTGCGCGTGCAAGAACTGCCATGATTGGCGAGTGTTTGACGGCTGCGTGTCATTTCATTGTCAAGACTTTTTATGTCAACCAATCAGAGCGCGTTTTACAATTGTTTATCGCCGTCATAAGTTATGCAGACTTATCAGTGATTGACAGCTATGTCCGTTCAAGTTTCATCGTCTAGTCTTTTAATGGCAATCAATCGGAGCGCGCTTTACAGCTGTTTATCGCAGCGGAGAGACACACATCTTTTATCACCAGACCCGGCTGGTTTTGCGCTGACAATTACACTTACTGAAGAACATAATTTCATTGATTCGTTCCTTATCTATCGCAGAGAGGCAGAAATATTTTATCCCTACCTTCTATCTTTCTGCGTGAACGGGAGGGACGATTTTATAGAGGAGCCCAGGAATATCTTTTGTCGAAATCAAATCAGTAATGAGTTTTCCAATTTCTTGCAGCTCGCATGGGACTGACGAGTTAACGTCAGGTCAGACGGGACGTCTGGAAGCGAGGTGAAAAAGGCTTTTTAGTAGTATCCCCATTTGAGTCAGTTTGTTATTTTAAGTCGACTTTGAAATACCTTTGCAGCCTTTTAATGAATTTTGAGAATAATAACGTTTATGTGCAAAAAAGCTCGGATCGGCTGGCAGTCAGTCAATGTAACTCGTGGCGAGCCATGGATATCCCTAATGAATACAAGAAATATGGAGTAAACCAATCAGGAAAAACAAATACAGAACCAGAACTCAGAAAATGCAAATGAGTACAAACTAATCACTTAGCGGCATAGCACTTGTTTATGCAAAACAGAAGGAGGAAGGCTCAAAAGTGTGCTTTGGGTAGTTAAATTTTCCACCTAACTATCCCCACAAATCCATTTAGAAAGGTGAAAAAAAATCGGCTGTAACAGTGGAAATCCACGAGATGGCTCTTTTCTTCCTTTGTGTTCGGATGATAATAGAGTTTTGAGAGTAGAAATACCAACGCTCTTAACTCTGCGCCATCTCAACTTCCTCCCCCCAGAGAATTGCAGTCCGTTATCGAAAGGAAGCTTAACTCCCTCTGCAATTCTCGTCATAATTAAAAGAAAAAAATTAATTTGCGAGACCAGACTTTCTAACTTTAAAGATTAGGACAGAGCTTAAAGAGAAAGTAAAAAATAGTTTTACTTTTTATCTTTAAAGGGAGAATGGCCTAGGATCTATCGCCAGAGATAACGAGTCGTTGTCTGAGTCTGAGGTAATCTTTACAATTTGTGGATCAAAATGCAAGAAATCGTTGCTCTGTCTTAAATGTATAATGCTCCTGGTGAAATAGGACCATGATAAATATAAATAGTAAGCACGAAAATCAGACCGAATTGAAAAAACAGTTGCTTCTCTCGCTAACATGATTTCCAAAATATGGATGCTTTGCCATTGCTTGTGGGAAATAAGATTTTTTTAACATGGGTACTATTTTGTTTGTTAAAAGAAGTCCATATCGCAATGCGAAGTTATCTAATTAGATACCTTAATTGGACGAATTCATAATTCTCGAAATTGAGTGATACTAATTCAATGCTTTTTCTCAATTTTAGCGCAGACGTTATGATCACGATAGTGTGGCAAGTGGCAATAGGTACGAAGTTGAGAGACGTAAACAAAGACACAGCTGTGGAACGCTTTCAAATAGTGAACGTGACACCGCACCAATTTTTCTCAACGAAGAGCAGTTCCAAGCGGTTAATCACGTAATGAATGGAGACGATGGGCCAGCAGCTTACCAACAGGAGAATAATGAGCAGCTCGATTACTCCATGGTTGATACCTCACAAGAGAGCCAGCAAACGTTCCAGCGGAAATTCGAGGGACAGGTCAATGGATTAGCCAACGCTGTAGCAGTGGGTGCACAACCAGCTACTGATACATCAAATGGAGTCGAAGAGATGGACTGGGCTGAAACTTCGATAATAGCTAGAGAAGAGTGGCAGCAGCTTCAACAGCTGAGGGATGATGGTGGCTGCATTGCCTCGAACCATTATGTGCGTAATGGTGAAGCCATAGAGGAGTGCCACTCCATTGAGGAAGAAGCTTTGGTTGCAGATCTTAATGTAGAAAGGCCGGTACAGTCACCTTACCCGCGGGGACTTGGTGCACCTATATATTGGTCGAGGTCACCAACTCAGGAATCAGGGTGCCATAGACCTCAGAGGATGCAGTCAGCAGCGCCCGCAGTTAGTCGGCCAGATGAGGACCAAGGACTGGTCCAGTGCCACCAAATGTGTAACAGTGTTCTTGTAAATGCAGTGAGTTCCATGGGTCCCACTCTGCAAGCCATTCAGCATACCTGCAACAGGGAGGAGTTTCGATTATGGAAACAGAAACTTGACGGGCAAGTACTATGCATTTTTTATCAATACATATCTAAACGTAAAAGCAAAAATACAAACGGTGAAGGAAACAAACAAGCAAAAAGTATTGTGAGATTTCAATATTAATTAATGTAAATAATAACAGTGAAAGTAATGATATTGATAACAAATGCCAAGGCTTACAGACCAACCACTCGTCTTTCCTAACAAAGCTCAACTTCCAGACATTGTCCTTAGTCGAGTCAGATGGAAAAAATTTCGATCTAAAAATAGCTTTTGTGGCATTTTGTTATCAGATCTGACGCACAGAAAGCGACAAGGAACAAGAGAAATTCCGGGGAAACATTCTTCATTGAGATATTGACACAGATTGCACAGCTTCGCCAAGTCGACGAGGACGGAGTTGCACCAGCCATCTTCAGCCGTGCGATCTATTCAGACAGCTTTGAATACAAGGTGGGCATACGACTGCACCCGAATGGCGTGGATGAAGAGGAAGGCAGATATGTCGCTCTCTTTGTTCATATGATGATGGGAGAATACGACAACGCGAGTGAAGTGCGATGGCCATTTACTCAGAGAATCACTGTGTCTATCTTAGACCAGAGTGACGCCAAACGTCACATTAGCCACATTATACAACCCAAGCCACACCTTGCAGCTTTTCAGAAGCCAACTGAAGCGTTCACTCCTACTGGATTTGGTTTCATTAAGTTTGCTCCTATCGAGGAGGCGTTTAGTTCTCCCTATGTAGAAAATGATAAGATGTTTATCAAGATTCAGTTTTCTACCTAACAACATTTCTCTCGAGTATTAGTAGTTGCTCTGTTTGTCATTCTGTTGGCACTGGGCGCAAAATGCTTTAGTCCTGTATTTCGGGGTCTGAGGTCTGGTAATTCTCTGGTACTGGTGGTCTTCATGATCAGAAAAAGCATTGCACAAAAGTATAGTTTCCATTGCCTTACTGTGTTAGAGAATGTGCAAAACTACGTAGTGTATACTGTTTTCTGTGAGCTTGTGGTTTTTCAATGCTTTCTCAGTGGAAGCCTGTTCACAGGCGACCTTCTTGCATGCATAGAAAACGAGACTTAAAAGTCAAAGCACCAAGTGAAAAGTATAAAATACATACATATACTTTTAAAATGAATCAACTGGTTGACAGGTTAGGTAGAGAAGCTGTGAGTAAGGTCGACTGGAGTGACCTCCGCGCTACAAACTGATAAAATGGATGAGTGATCTCCAAGGAGCTCACTCAAGATAATTTGGTGTTAGATCAAGATAATTACTTCTACCTGATAAGTTTGACAAGTGTGATCTGTCATTGGTTTTTGACTTCCCGTTAAAGAAGCTCTTGAAGTCATGTCATCTTCTCCGACTTAGTCAACTTTCAGCCTATTGTTTTAGTATCTTAGAGTTGTTTTCAAATTGAGTGCAATTGTGTGGCAAAAATTAACCCACGGATTACCCGAAGGGATAGAATTAGATTAGGCATATTTACAGAGAGAGTTTGCTTTTTACCTTTTGCATTCTATGTAGAATGTAATCGCAGCTTGCTGGTTGAAACCTGATATTCATGGGAAAATATTTTTATTGGTATATATATATTAGTCTCCTGTTATTCTAAAGTTATTCCTATCAGGGTTCAGGATTTCTCTTCTTTGAGTGTACGAATTTCTACTGAATGTGAAACTGTTATAATAACCATGCTATTTTTTTCAGCGAAGACGAAATTAGTCTTTCACTGCATGGAGGCAATTAGTTGACAAATTGGTTAGGTGTTTACATACCATGCAAATAAAATATCGCCTATAATTTATATATCTGTGCCTTACTAATTTGCGCACAAAGTAGTTACTATGGGGTATCCACATGAAGTCAAGTCAGCTATGAAAAAGGAATGAAATGACAATAGGTCGGTTATGCCGCTGTGCCAAATCAGTCCTTCCTTTCAGTACAAGAACTTTCTTAAGCTGTAGTAAGTTCTGTAGGTGTTATGGGTAGTGACTGTGAAAAAAAAATTATCTAGAAATTTATAGAATGCCTTGTAATGCTGACTTGCATAAATGAAATTTGTAAGGAATTGATAAAGAAACTATATAGTTCTGGAATGTTCTGGAATACATAGAAAATTTATCTTGGGAGTCAATCGTGCAGTTATAGCCAGTTGCTGTGGTCGGGAGTGACAGACT